TTAAGAATAGATAAAGAAGTTATCATTCTCACTACAAGATTAACAGCAGTATTCATTATTGAAGATGAATATATACATTATCTCTTTATAGATTTTAAGAATGTCTTTTTAGAAAGAGAAGTAGTGAAGTTTTCTAATATCAAGATATAATATAAGATTCATCTTGAAGATGATATAATAACACTGTACAGATCTCTTTATAACTTGTCTGTAAAGAAATTAAATATTCTGCACAAATATCTTGAGAAAGTGTAATTAAAGAACTGAATATATTTATCAAAGAGTTCAGCAGAAGCATCTATACTCTTTATACTTAAGAAGAATAATAGACTATATCTATGTATAGACTACAGAGATCTTAATAAAGTGACAGTTAAGAATTACTATTCATTACTATTAATTAACAAGATGATTGATTAATTATCTAAAGCAAAGATATTCTTAAAGATTGATATACAGAATATCTATTATAGAATCAGAGTTAACAAAGATGACATTTAAAAAACAGCTTTTCATATCAAGTATAGTAATTTTAAATATCTTGTTTTATCTTTTAATCTTTGTAACACTTCAGTCACTTTTCAGATCTATATAAATGAGACACTGTAAGACCTTATTAACATCTTCTATATAGTATATCTGAATAATATTCTAATCTTCTTGAAATCAGAGAAAGAATATGATACTCATGTTCAAGAAGTATTGAGTTACTTGAGACAGTATCAACTTTATATAAATACTGAAAAATGCTTATTCTACATACAGAAGATTGATTTCTTAGATTATATTATTAAGATGAACAGTATTTCAATGAATAGAAGCTGAGTCTTCACTATTAAGAACTGACTGATATTACAGACATACTGTAAGATACAGATATTTCTAGAATTTATAAATTTCTATAGATGATTCATCTATGTATATTCATAGATTACTACTCTTCTTACAGATCTGTTAAAGAGAAGTGTGAAAGACAGAAAAACAGAATTATTTATTCTCACTCAAGACATTATACAGGCATTTGCAGAATTAAAACAAGCTTTCACAGATACTATAATACTGAATCACTTTAATCTCAACTTACTCAGTCAGTGTGAGACTGATATATCTGAGAATGAAGTCTGTGAAATCTTTTCACAGTTGACACTGAAGATCTTTCAATATTAAAAGAATCAGAGAATAATTATCTCTGAGAAAATAGATAATGAATTATCTATAAAAGAAGACTTTTTCACAGAGTCTATAAGATACTATGAATAAAGATCAGTGATTTTCTTCTTCAAGAAGTTATCACTCATACAGAGAAGATATGATATTCATGATTAAAAGATATTAGTAATTATTAAATTCTTTAAGATCTGATAATATTATCTTCAGAATAGTAAGTACTCAGTGTAAGTTCTCACTGATTATACAAATCTGCATTACTTCTTGATAACAAAGAGCTTAATAGAATATCAAGCCAGATAAGCAGAGCTGCTTTCAGAGTATAATTTCTATATCTGATACTATTCAGATCAGCTTAATCTCATTAATACATTATTTAAACAGTCTGATTATAATATTATTAATGTAGAGAAGAATTCTATAAAAGAATCTCTGTTATCACTACAGAAGAAGCTGACTGCAGAGAATTGAGATTCTCTGAAGCTTGAAAACAGTGCTGATAAGACAGCTGTACAACTTAGTATAGAAGATGAAAGAAAACTCAGATTCTCACAGAGAACTAACACTGAAGATTATGAGCTTCTCATGTTATATCTTACAATCATTGAATTGATAAAGAATAAAACAGTCTACAATCTTTCAATCTGACTACTTTTGAAATTTATTAATAAGTTATAGAAGAAGAACATCTCTACTGCAGCTTGAATTCAGAAGTTAAAGAAGAAAGAATTCAGTTTGAACTTGAAAGAGACAGACTCTGAGCAGAGTGATACTGCTAAGAAATCAAGTCACTGATAACTAGAAGAATGTGAACTTCTACTACTAAATAATTCAGTCTTTGTCTCTTATAGTAGAGCAGTGCATCAGAAGTTATTAAGAATTCATTATAATAATCTTTATACAGAACACTTCAGATTAGAGAAGACTAAGAAACTTCTAAAATATAAATATATTTAAGATAAGCTTCAGACAGATGTTAAAGAGTATATTAAGACTTATAATATCTATCAAAGAATAAAGATCTTATAGTATAAGTAATACAGCAAGTTAGTATCACTGTCTATTTCAAAGAGCTTATAATAGAATCTATTAATGAATTTCATAGTTGATCTACTGAAGTCAACAAGAGTCAAAGAATATGACTCAATTTTAATTATTATTAACTACTTTACAAAGATAATCAGATATATCTCTACTTATAAAAAGATTAAAGCTTCTGAATTAACTGACCTGTTTTTAGATATTATTATTTATGATTACAGTGCTTTAAAATCATTGATAACAGATTAAGAATCTCTCTTCATTAGTAAATACTGATTGACTTTTTACTATCATCTTATAATAAGACATCTTCTCAGTATTACATTTCATTCATAGACAGATGATCAGACTGAATATCAGAATCAGACACTAGAATAGCATCTTTAAGTATTCTGTTTATATTATTATAATGATTAGCTTAAACATCTTCTGATCATTAAATTCATATATAATAATATAAAGAATGCAATCTTAAAGATATCTTCTTTCTATACTTATTATGAATATAATTCTTTATTACTCAGTGATATTATGAATAATGTTTTGAAGAGAAAAATAGACAGTCAGAATATTAAATAGATACAGAGAACAGAGTATCTCTCAGTATCAGAAGTAAAAGTGAGATTGAAACTTTTTAACAAAATTTATAAGAAAACAGTGAAAAGTATTCATCATGCTCAGAAGTAGTAGATGAAATACTATAATTAAAAACATCTTTTAATAAAGTTCTTAATAGAGAATCAAGTACTACTTTCAGTAAAGAATATTAAGATAATGAGATTATATAAGAAGCTTAGTAAGTGATGACTAGAATCTTTCTCAGTAACAAGAGTAATAAGTAAGCAGATATATGAGTTGAAATTACTCACAGAATTGAAATCAATTTATTCTATTTTTCACATTTTCTATTTGAAGCTCTATAAGTAATACTTCAGAGTGAAGCTATCTCAGTCAGATAATATTAAGATCAAGAGTGATACTGAATATCTTATAAAGAAAATATTGAATAAGTAAATATATTACAGTAAGCTTCAATATCTTGTGAAATGAGAAGATTATTCATTATCAGAGAATTTATGAGAACTGCTTGAGTATTTAAAAAATACTGAGAAAGAGATTGTAAGCTATGAGACAGCTAGTAGAGATTACTCTGTTACATATCAGAGATATTAAGTAAGAAATGCTGCTTAAGACTTCTTATTTTTTCTCAAAGAATTTTTAAAGATAATCTTACAATAATAAGTCAGTATCTTATGAGCTCTGTAGCTAGACTGGCCGCTGAGACTATGAATTTCATGTTTAGTCTCATTTGATCTGATTCCATACATTTCTTGGCGTGAATCCCGCTGGGACTGGCTATCAAAAAAACATGTAAAGTGACTATATATCAGATCTTAAAATGGAACCATGACTTGAAAAAAATGAGAAAGTGATCTCATTTGATCTCATTTAGTTCCATTCTTGGCATAAAGTTACTATTTTTAGACATTTTAAGGTTTTTTTTAGACTATTTTTAATTTTTTAAAAAGTAACACTTTTTGATAACACTTAAATGAGATTTAAAGTCATTTAAAGCAATAAAAATAATTTAAATTGAGAAGTGGAAATCATGGTCTCATTTGAAAAATGTGACAAGAGTAGACAGTAAGTCTCACTGAGACAGTATGAGACTACTATCTAATGTTAAAACTGTGTAATGAGATCAGTTGAATTGATAATGAGACTATTAAAAAATCTGGTTCTGATCTCAGACACGGTCACACGGTCAGTCTATCTGTAGCACTCTTCTTCTATTTTCTCTCAAAGAGTTTTTTAGAAGTTTAATGAGACTACACAAGTATAAAATTCCTGAAGCAGTTAATAAGAAATGAAAGAAATATTTAAAACTAATAAGAATTAATATTATCAATCTGCAGATCACTGCTATTCTAATAGAGCTGCAGCTCACTGAAAAAGTAAAAAGAAGGAATTTCAGAGTCTACTTATTAATAATCACATTCTCATTAAACTTATTCTTCATCATTGAAGTCTTCAGTATTAATATCTTTATCTGTCAAAAAGTTAGTACTGTAGCACTGCAGAGAAGTATACTGTAGAAGAGTATAAGAGATACTTAAAGTATTAACTTATTAATTTATAAAGTATCTTAGTTATCTACTTCAATTGAAGTAAGATTCTCTTCAATCAGTAATTAATCTTTATAATACTTTTAATAGCAGTATCAGCTGATCTCTTCTTAAGATCAGTTATTCTGAGATATTTTTTTATCTCAGAGATTCATGCTTTCATCTTCTTTTACAGATAAGTAAGAGAGATCTTCTCAGTCTTGATAGAATCTGTTAATACTTAAAGCTCTGAGACTCTTACTCTGTACTGCTTAAGTATCTAGACTTCTAATCAGAGCTGATATAACATCTTTCTATGAGATAATACTTACAGAGAGACAGAAGTTATTATTACAGATATAATAGAAATAATAAGAGTGAGAGAAGAAATAAGTGTATAAAATCTCTTTCTTCTTCAGCTGCTTAACACAGTACAGATAAGTAGCAGTGCTAATCAGAGATTATATCAGAGTCTCTTCACAGAGAGAGAGTGAAGAAACTGCAGAACTCTGCAGACTCAACTCAGCAGCAGTCTGAGCAGGGCTCAGACATGCTATGAGAGAGAAACTATAAATTAAGCTTCTCAGAGTCACTGTTCTCAGAATCAAGCTCTCTCTGAGTTCCTCTCTGAATGATCACACAGGGTCATACATCACTGTATTGACTGAGGGAGGAGGCAGTGTCACAATGACAGTGAAGAGAGCAGGGAACAGATCAGACACAGACACATCAGTTAGCAGAAGAGATGATACCTTACTACAAGACACAGTAACTACTGTCACAGCTGTAAGAGAAGTAGAAGAAGATATGACAATGAAAGCAGTGCTTCTGCAGCTCATTGACATCATTACCTTCAATCTGGCTTTCTTAGTGATCATGAAGGCTGCAGCCACATCACAAAGACATTTACTTACTAGAAAACATCAGAATAAGTCTCTTATTATCTCTCAAGAATGATGCTCTCATGCACTCACTATTATAGATGAGAGAAGAGAAGAAAAATATATTACAGAGAGAAGAGATCTTTTCAAAAAATCCTGTCACTACTGTTAGCTTTATCTCTAAAATACATCACTTTTACAGAGAATTTTATATATAGAATAGAATATAATGAGAGATCTGTAAGTCACTTATTAACTACATTTTTCACATTTTAAATCAATATATAAGAAACTCACTTATCATGCATTTGATTTGAACAAAGATGAGAAAAGAAAGATCTACATAGTCAGTAGAAAAACTCATCTATTTCTTTGTACAGTATATATACTATCAATCAGTTAATAATCATTACTATATAACAAAGATAATTTCTAATTCAGTAATCTTAAGAGTATCAGAACTATACTTTTAAAGAGAAGAGTATTATTATACTTCTAACTATGTCAAGACTCTGCAGCAGTTTCACACAGCTTATTACTTTTATATAGATGATTTCATTCATCTCACAGACTGTTCAAACTGATTTTCAATTACTCTATAACATTATTCAGATATATCATAGAAAGATCTGATTAATAAATATAAGAACTCTGCTTTTATACAAGATCAGCAGATTACTCTTTCTTGACAATGAGACATCACTGAGATATCACTTCAGCTATTCTTACTTATGAAATGAGAGAAGAATATCTGTTCATTATCTATATAGAATAGCTAGATACTGACTTCTTATTAAAAAAGTCAGTAATTCATTTTTCTTCTACTGAAATATATACAAGAGTTACTGCATGTCTTATACAATCTTCTTAGTGTACTAAGTATCACATCTGTGATATTCTTGCAATAACTCTGTAGTCTATGAGCTCACTATTCAAGCAAGATAGTCAAGCTCACTTATACAGCTTTTCAAACAACTATCTCTATATGACATCACTGACTAGCCACCGCTTCGGTTCCGTCATATTACAAAAGTGACTATATATAAGATTTTAAAATGAAATCATGACTTGAAAAAAATAAGAAAGTGATCTTATTTAGTTCTATTTAGTCTCATTCTTAGTATAAAGTTACTATTTTTAGACATTTTAAGGTTTTTTTTAGATCATTTTTAATTTTTTAAAAAGTAATGCTTTTTGATAACACTTAAATAAGATTTAAAGTCATTTAAAGTAATAAAAATAATTTAAATTGAGAAGTGAAAATCATAGTCTTATTTAAAAAATGTGATAAGAGTAGACAGTAAGTCTTACTAAGACAGTATAAGACTACTATTTAATGTTAAAACTGTGTAATGAAATCAGTTAAATTGATAATAAGACTATTAAAAAATCTAATTCTGATCTCAGACACAGTTACACAGTCAGTCTATTAATAACACAGAAATAATTTACTCTGTATTCTGAGTATGAAAGAGAATTTTAACTTAACTTCATAGATTCATCATTTCTGTATTATCTTGAAATCTTAGAATAATAATATTCTGATAATATATCTGATTTTTATATTCATATCTCAAGTTATTAGAATAGAAGTATCATCTCAAAGTTAATTAGTGTGTTTTTGAACACAAGAATTTTAATTCAATTTCTCATATAAAAAAAAGCTCTTAGAAATTCTGAGATTAAAAAATATAATCATTTTCAAGAGTATATATCTATCTTAAATATAGATTTTTTTAAAATATTAAAGAAATATTTCTATTCTTCTTCTCTTTAGCTATAAGCTAAGGTGATTTTCAAATCTCAAAGATATCTGAGTATATAGTAATAGAAAGTCAAAGTTAAAGAATCTGAAAAATTCTTATAAATCTCAGGAATCTTCATTGAAGATGAAACTGTTTCTTCTCAGATCCTCTGGCGAGGATTGCTCTGAGCACATGACTTGTATCAAAAGTAGGTTAGTGTCATGCCGGATTAGTTAATAATAATGCTGCAACCCGTTCAAACCGAGCCAGAGGGTCTGAGCCCGCTGAGATAAGTGATAGTAGTGTCAATTTTCTGGATCACGTGATCAAAGATGCCTCGTGTTTCCGTCGAAGAACTCTTGAAACATGTTAAGAAATGTCAACAACTTGCTGACAGTTGTGGTTTTACCATTGCTTATCAGAAAGAGAAGGAAAGTAGTGAAAATGTAGTATACCACAGAAAGAAGGCGCCTGCTACTGATTACAAGTATGCCAGAGTTGTTGAGAACTGGATATTGTGAGTGTTAATGTGAGAAAATAACTGCTGTATCATAACTAATTATCAAGTAGGTGGAGGGTTTTTCACAGTGAATCAGAAGATAAAGAGTTTGCTAAGCATGAGCCTGATCTCTCAATATAAACTCTGAAAAACTTTGCTGAAGACTATGTTGCTACGCGCATCGAGATTCCAGCGCAGGATACGGCTTGCAACCATATGTCTGCTTTCATTTCAGAGTGGAAAAAAAAGACCAAACATAGAGATAAATTTCCTGTTACCAAGAAGGATATTGAATATCATCTGGATCAGTTATTCGGCGATGACGACCACGATTATGAACACGAACATATAAGAGTCTACCTAGGTTTTCTTTTGTCTCTATTTTCGGCTTCGCGAGCAAGAGCAGGCTCTATTGTGGAATCTAGCGCTTACCATGGATCCAATGAATGTTTATATTATCAGGTCAGTTTTTCAGCTTAGGAGACATTTCAAAAGCAAGTTAACTGTGATTATAGCACCTTACATTTAATTTGAGATGGATTGCGGGGGGCCGGGTAAAGTTCTGGGCGACTCTTGACCCAGAATTTTTGAAAGGAAATCGATACAATGATGAAGGTTTGACATAAGTCTTGCCTGGCCCATTATCACTTAGTTATACTTGGATTGAAATAGGTCGAGGAACTGGATAGGAGAGCAAGAAGTGTTGGGAAAAATTTCATTTTCTGGTTGGGTGCCATCAGTATCGCAGATCGAGCATTCAAGGGGATTTGCACAGTTCAGGAATTGCTAAGCAAACGCCCGCCCAAAGGACGTGAGTCATGGACCCTTGAATGGGAGGATAGCATGAAGAATGTTCCAGTGCTTTGTATGGTCACTGCAGCTGGTCCCAACAGCTACCGTGGTATGACCTTCTCGTGTATGCGGCATCATTTCTTAAATTTATCAAAGCGAGCTTGCTTTCGTGATCGTCTTAGAGTTCATGGGATTGGAGGTGGTGTTGCCAATGCATTTGATGGTCTGTACCCCTTACTATCCAAAGAGCCTTCGCTTACCGCGTTTCAGTCAACACATCAGAAGCTAGTCGGAGCCAAGCACTCTATCATGAAGATCCCAACACATACCTTAAATACCAATCAAAGGTCCTCGCCCTCGACATTCAGGCCTGTTTTTGGGGCCTAGCTCCTGATCACGAGGTTCTGGAAATGGAACAGAGCATGGCACACTATAGAGATACCAATGTTCCGCAACACCTTGATGCCGAGGTGATTGTTGAACTTGAGAGAGATGCAGAAATGATTGATATAAACTTTAAAATCACAGAACTTACAAAGAAGATTGGAAAACACCCTAGGGACCATGAAGACCTTGTCCGCGAACAAGCCAAGCTCTATAATAAAGCATTGAAGATGCGCCGTCAAAAATTATAGGAATATAGAGAAAACTGGTGGATTTCAACAGGAAATGAATTCACAGAGAGAGATACAACCTCTATATTTGAGATTTGCTGAAAATTTATGCCAGAGAGAAGCCGCCTGAGAGATAAATCTCTTCATGAAAACCTTGTTGGATAGCAAAGCTGGTATGCAGTGTTTGCAAGACATGGTGAATCTTTGCATCTCGAGGGAGTGAGTTGCATACTATCCAGGAGAGGCACCATTGGATGAGTGTTGCCCTGTGTGCCCAACAAAGATGGCTAGGTATGCATGCCCCATACAATGAACTCTCTAGCACTAATTACTTGAAGCCTCGCGTTACAGTCCCGTTCAAAGCATATTTTACAGTGCCGCAGGAAGTCACGTAACGCCGCTCCATATCAGCAGCAATATATGAATGGGAAACAGGCTCATCGCCGAACGAATCGCTCGTTTCTCGAGTACTGTTACTTGTGTGCTAAGTGGTTTCCTGACCCTATGGCTTGGAAAGAGCATTGTACCTTTCACCTCAACAACTTGCAACCACGATGTGGCATCCTTACCCTTCATTACACCCTTGTTGCCCCAGGGTTTTGTCCGGACCGCTTAGGAGATGAGAGCATGCAACCTGATGAAAGGTTCCAACAATGGAGGGTTAAATCCACCCTTCTTAATCACATCGATGAGGTACACCTGATGAAGAAGAAAACCGAAAGCAAGCTCAAATGCCCCCACCCATGCTGTGACGACCAGTGTTATGAAGGGATATTAGCACTTTGAAACCACTATTTCAACTGACACTCTATTGAGGAACCTCGATGTAACTGTGTTTCTTGAAAGAGAAATTTTGATGCTAGCTTCAGCAATCTGAATGCAGAAGCATCAAAGCTACACAAACCCAACACAGTGAATCAGAGGATCATGAGTCCTGACAATAGCACCGGCATGTCAGGTCCTAATGGAGAACACTGGTGTGGGGGGAACATAAGATTTGAAAGAGCAGTGCCTGATTGTCTAGACCTGACAGGCATACGGTTTGGTGTTCTTAACAGCTAGCTTTCACATTAAAATGTTAATAAACTACCTTTGAGAGAGATGTTCTGATTTTGTGTCATGATATTTTTAAATAATTTGCTGCAGAGAAGGTTATGACTGGTCAGTCATTTATATTCTAATCTATGCTAGATACTCCAATTCTAATCACTGATGACAATCCACCCTTGTATAATTTCCTTCTGAAATATGAAGTAGTGATAACCAACACTCCACATCTGGGCTCAGCCCTCAATCACTACTGGCCCTGAAAGAGATTCTGAAGCTCTAGCTTGAGTTCTTCATCATATTTTGTTGTGGGAATGTAAAGACAATTCCTAACATCACTCAGAAAGGAGTTTCTGTGGTGGTTGAGACTGTTCTGATGAGCCCTTATGCTTCCACACCTCAAACCTGGGGAGGGTGAGGATGATGCGTAACATGTCTGAATAGGTGACAGTTTCCCCTGTCTACTTAGGTTAAAGTAGAGCTTTCTGGCTGTCAACTGACTGATGCAATAAGCTAAGAAAGCTGCCCGCGACTCGTCGAGCCGAATCCCCTCATTACTTGGGTGAAAGTAGAAATTTACAGCCGATCAAACGAATGAGCACCAAGAGAGCTACCAACAACAACATTTCAAGTCGAATCCTGACTACTAGGTTAACGTAGTACTTAACGGTCGTCGACCGAACGGCCGTCCTTTTCAAGGGTCTATAGAGCACCCGAAAAGGAAAATCCCCTGCACAAACTAACGTGCATACGAATCTGCCGGAACCTCGAAAAGGCTCAGAGGATCGGAAATCCCAAGATTCGAAACATCCCTTAGCCTGAACGGCTAAATTTTCGATATGGTAAACGAACGTCACTCCGTATCGAACGAACGAGTGAAAGTCCCTAAAGCCAACACTAGGGATATCGCCACCAGCACCCTACCTACTTACCCCGAACAAGTCTACATCACTGATGGAATGGGAAATGGATGGGACAATTTTTTTGACTTCTTTATGGTTCCTACTTGTTACTAGGCACATGGGCATGCCAATGGGAATCATTTTGTACTTAGTTTTTTTGTTTTTTTTTTTGTTTAGCAAGCTGTAGCAAGCTGCAAGGAAGCTAGCCTGGTGTTAGGCTCAGGGCATGGACACCCGCAAGGTTACTGACCTGGTTGACACACCCTACATTTCCCGGAGATGGATGAAGAAGGAGAAATTGTTCCAGGCACGGATTCTGGAATAGCCACTCACTGTTGGTGCACATACAAATCAACCCACTGCTTTCGCGGGCGATTTGGCCACACGCCACAGCTGCGACGGGCGCACTGCCAGATAAATACATGGAAAAATGACTCGAGATCATGTCGATATGTATGATCGATGTTGAGCAGCACCTCGATAGCCATGAACTCCATGGTGCCAGTGCGACAGCGCGCGCGGCTAACCCTAACCTACCTACGCAGTAAGGGCTAAACTACATAGTGGATTACATGAGTGTCAACATGATTGGCCACCCATCATCCGTATGCCTACTGCTCGCGAACTCTCTAGCATGGAGGTGGAAGCTCTAGAAACCACGAAACAAGGGAAAAAGCTCAGATGAGATCGATGTAAACCTAACTAAGTCGCCATCGAGCTCAGCGGGAATGGTGAAAAATAGAAAGGATGAAAACTCTGCAACGGCGGATCATCTATATGATCCGGCCCGAATGGCTGGAGGCTAACTACGACGAGACTAGCGCTAGTGGTGTCTCGAGGCGCTCTCATCAATATTAACGCAAATGCGCACGGTGAACATGCAACTTTGCAAAGAGCCTGGTGGATTATGCTCTGGAGATGGTGGTGGTGGAAGATTGTTACCGGGACAGTCGAATATCTAAGCATAATCTAATCTGTGACCTCCGGATCTTTCTGTGCATCTTGAAGTATTTTTCTCATTTCTGAACCTAGGTTTGGGTTTATTTCTTTCCATCGTCCGCTGTTTGGAAACACAATCCGCCGAACCCTGTTTTGC